TGGATCATGGATGATGTGTGTATGCCGTATGAGTGACCTGGAATGACGTATCATTTTCATTTTCGCCGTTAGCCTGAGCGCCTCAGTCTGTCCACCGACATGATATCGCATCGACATAAGACCGCATGACAGTCCGGCATTGATCGTAGTGGTGATATATACGGGGAATACGTCGAGAGGACGCGCGATCTTGGACATGATAGTATACCAGATCGACGCATACTGCGCGCGAGTTATGCGATATATCGTTTGTTAGTGCGACGGTGGCCTTAATTCAAAATTGCACATGCATGCGACCGTCCTCCCGGGGATATGCATCAGCCCGCGGCAGCACCGTAAGTGCGGGCGGCCGCAACCAAATTTTGGCACAATACAAGCATGCAATCATTTAAATTCACAACATATGTACAATCCATACTACTTGGAGGTCGCATACGAGTCCAACGCGCCGACGTATTCTGCATGGCATGTTCACAGACATAGACTGGATATGTGTGTGCAATGCCATTTGCAGGCCAGCTTCAATCATTGGTGCAAACGCCGTCTTACTAGAGAAGCGACTTCCTTCCCCAAGCGAGCGCTAGCTAGAAAGTGTACCTGATTTAGGCCTACTAGTCAACGCTTGCTTATGGTGTGTTCAAAAGGCTGCCACTATTGCAGTGCATTCATGTTCTTCCTACGTAACGAGACAGCCAGCATTTTCAGCTTTTTCTTCAGCATGTCAGCGTCACTATCGCGCCTGGATTCTCACACGCCTAACCTCCATGCCCCCCCCTATTGCACAACTAATCTACAACCTTGCAGAATGTCAAGCCTGCACCGCGACCTCCCCTCCTTCCTCCTCCTTTTCCCTCTTCGCCTCGGGGGCCGGAGACACAACCCTAACATCCACAGACTTTTGCAATTCGACCCCGCACCCCCCCGTGCGGTGAGCCGCTCCCCCCTCCTCAACGCGCGCCCGCTTGGCCGCGCTCGAAACCCCCCCGTCTTCCTGCGCCCCGTTCTGTCCCCCCTCCCTGAGATCGTTCCCGTCCGCTTGGGGCTCCGCCCCCTCGCTCGCGCCCTCCTCGTCACTGCTGTCCCCAATCCCCCCTCCTAGAAGGCTGGAAAGGGTGGCGCCATTCCCGGGGGGAGCGCCCGAGATGCGGGGGCTTCCCGTCGAGCCTCGGATGTCTTGAAGCGATCGGAGGGCGGCCACGGTGCTGCGGTAGATGGAGTCAACGTCCTCGTCCCGTGGGAACGAGAGGGGGTCCGGCGCAACGGCCGTGCGCGGCTTGCCCGTCTCTGCAAAAGCGTGGGAGCCATCATTAGTTTCTGACTCCTCCTTCTCGAAATGTACAAATCTGGATCTGTTGACGAATTCACATCTGTTGACGATCTCACGACTTGCTTGCTAATGTCTGAATGATCGAAGAGTTTTTTGAGAGCTCCGTGCAGCTTATGGTGCAAGCAGCGTGCGGTACATCATCCGCGATGAGACTCACGGTCTTGCAGCTCGAAAAACTCCGTCTGAGGTGGCTCGCAAGTGATCGACTGTTACGTGAGACGACTCTAAGCGCACCAGATTTCCCGTCCTCCCAATGGGGTAACAGACTCCTCCACTTTCGAATCGAGTTCTGGCAACGAAACCGTAAGCGCTGGCAGAATGTGTACTGCAGATGCAGACTTGTGCGACCTAGTGACAGCACCGTTCCATGACGTGAAAGCTGAGAGCGTGGCCAGGTAACCACTCATCCAATGGGGTTCCAGCGGGCAGTCTCAAAACTACGGGAGAGCTTGTCCCAAGTCATAGATGCGAGAGCAAGCTGTGCTGGGTCGGCAAATGAGGAGAACGAAGTTTGGGGTGACCCTGTTTTCTTGGTAGAGCATCAAGAGAACAGGGCATCACCCGAAGAAGCGTCAGAATAGCGTCCAGAAGAAGTGTTCGTATGCGAAGCAGAGGCAGCGTCCGGAAGCGGCCAAAGGCAGCGGACGCCCGAAAACGGCTCACCTTTGGCAGGGGCGAAGACGAACTGCAGCTTCTCCTCGCAGTCGCGCACGAGCTTGGAGAGGAGCTCCGTGGTGTAAAACGGCTGCAGCAAAGGGGACAACAGGGTCAGAGGTCTAAGCCGTTTGACCAAATAGCAATGAAAAGAGCACTTTAATAGGGCGCATCTGTATCGGACGAGCTTGGAGAGAGCTCTGAGGTGTAAGCCGGCTGCAGCAGACAAGGCGACACGATCAGGAGTCTCAGCCGACTAGCAGTAAAGCATTTCGTGGTGCTCTTTGTTGAGGCGCTCTCTCAGATTCCTCTTCAATCTCAACTATACTAGCTTGGGATATCTATTCTTCCAACATGAAAAGAGCCTTAAGGTCTAAAATGGTTCCAGTGGACTAGACGACACAATCAGAGGTGTAAGGCAACTGTGGTGCCAGCTACTTCTGCTTTACAACTCTCCCTTCAGAATAGTAACGTCGACCTTTTCCGTTTGTATGTTACTTCAGTGAAATTAGCGTCACTTCCTGCAAAACAGAGGAGCGCAGCGCGCACCTGTCGAAGGACGTTGTTGATGTAGGGCATCCGCAGGAGCATGCCGGTGCGCTTGTCGTGCTTCTTGAGAATTTTGACCAGGCCCGTGTAGTTGAGCGAGCTGTAATTCTCCAACAGCACCTGCGCATATCAAGAAGGAAAATTTGAGTATTATGACCCATCTTTCCACTATTTGCTTCCAGTAGACAACTTTCGACTCCACAAGTGACCTGCAAACCCAAAGCGCAAGCAGGGAGAAGAGGAGACATGGTGATCAAATCTTCCGCGGGGATGATGCTGGATCATGACTTTTGGATTATGAGCACCTACAATCTACAAGCAGCACCAGCTAGTAACACCAGCTTTAGAATTTCCTGTCCCCAACCTTTCTACGCATTTCGTGTCTTCTCGAAAGTACAAGAAGCAGATGCACGAGCACTTGCCAAACAAACAACAAATGACCAGCACTGACCACACGCAAACAGGAGCGCACTCGACAGAGTAAGTTGACACTCCGACGCAAATAAAAGAGACAGCTCACCATCTCGCCATGGAACGCCACGATGGCTTTGCGGATTGCGTTTACGTCAGAGGCACACGCGGGGCACGTACTGAGATCCTCTCTGTTGCACGTCATGCGCTGCGCAAGAAGAGACCAAAGGTTGAGAGAAAAACTGAGAAGTCGCCGGCCATCACTACCGCACCAATTGTCCGGCTGGGCAGATTGCTGCCCAATATACGCTTTCGTAAGCTCTAGAATTTGGGCAGCTTCATTCACCTATTTATTTTGTTCTTTCACGGGGCAGAATGATCTGCAAAAAGATGGGTATAGGATGATCTGCAAATATGGGTATAGGATTCATTCTGCATTCAGAGATTTGGGCAAGTCAACGATTAAATAACTGATGCCCAGACGGCCACTTGGTATGGTACGTTTGCTGTAAAGCCTTGTTGACAACGCTGTGCAACCAAGATTATCTCAGTACCAAAATCTCAAAGACCCAGTTTTGAATGTGTGTGCCGAGCAGCTCCAATCGCTATTGCAAAGCAACAGACCATGGAACAGATTAGCCTGGGCTTAGTTATACAAGACGGGGCTCGCTTATGGGTCCATTACTCTCACTGCCCAACATAGAGCGCGACTCTGAACCTGGATCTCGAACCGAAATTGCCAACAATTGCCCTCACGGATTGGCTACCAGTAACTACGCCTGGGAACTTGGGCCCAAACCCTAACTCCAGACCTTGACCACCCACCAAGGCTGCATAAGGTCACAGTTTAATAAAAATAGAACCAAAACCCGGAGAGCCAAAACCTCGACCCTATTCTGACCCCTAGGCATTACGAAAACCAAAGTGCCAGTCACAAGCCATCGAACCGCAACCCCAATGCTCACCAGCTTCTCGACGCGCTCCTTGAGATCCGACAGGCGGATGACAAACTCCTCTTCCTTCTCGATGAAGAAGTTGTTGAACTTCTCTAGTTCCACATTGAGCAACCGGATGAACTCCTCTTCCTCGGGCGTGAGGTGTCCCTGCTCCGAGCAAGTCGCACGTGTCAAGAGCGACAAACCACGCCGAGACATCAATGCTGGATTTCCGGCACAAGAGTATTCTTGTAGGCATAACCAGAAGACTTGAATGGATTGAACCTGGCTAGACCGTTGTGGTCAAGTCCCTCGCTTGACGGCTTAACATCTTGGCAGTTGTCTTCTGTGCTTGATACTAATGACAGGTGGCAATTGCGGGCCTTGCAAAAGCTCTAGTGAGATGTCTGTGCTTAGGCAGTTCACCTGCTCCAGGCGTTCTGCTTCCTCGGCTGTTATGCCCGGGGGGTGCGCCAGGTCGTGGCTGCTCGCACGCAGCTGCCGCTCAATGGTCTCCACAACATGGTCTGCAGGAGGGAAAAAAGACAAGTTTAGGAAAGACAGCTAGAAAAGCATGCAACAGAGAGGTCTGGAGGGGACAGGAGAAACAGGAGTGAGAAAAAGAACCTGCAATACCGTGTCAAGTGTAAGGATGCTGCGGCGAAGGGAAACATAAGACATGGTCACCAGGAATTGGGCCCCAGTTGGCAGGGACCAAGAGAAAGACCATTCAGCAAGAAAGTTGGTGAGTCTGCTAATGTAGGGGCAATTGCAGGGACAAGGACTCAAGTTCGCAAGCAGGGAAGAGGTAAGACAAAGAGCTGGTGTGCCTGTGAGAAAGAGGAGTCTTAAACAGAAAGGTGGCACATTCCAAATGCTCCTTGCAGGGAGGAAGCAAGGGGATGCGAGTGCTCTTTGCAGCCATGAAGGAGGTAAAGGGTTTGATTAGCAGAGGAGAGCAGCGCAAGCTGGTTAGCAGATGGGAAAGAGAAGGATACTTCGTGGTGGTGGGAACAAAGTGGTCTTGAGAAGACACTTTTAAAACATATGCTCCAGAGCTGGCATGATTTACGCTTTGGCGGGGAGATTATGCTTCATCGGATTTCAATCGAACTCAGAGCGGCTCAAATTTTGGGCTGGCACCTCTAGCTGAATAACTTGGAGAAAGACTTGCTGACATCGAAGGACGAAACATGCTTTTAAGGAGAGCAGCATAAAAGTGGGCGGAAGAGCAGCTGCGGGAGCAGAACTGTGCAAGGGAGTGGCTCGACACAGACTTCAGACTCGACCTTCCTCTCATGATCATGCACCTTGATGCAGTTGGTGCGAAACAAGAGTATTGGTATACATAAGGGACCGTTTGTTTGAAGCGAAGACTGGTTGCGAACAGTTTCTGAGCTTGTGGAGGACCTGGCAAGAACCCTGAAATCCACCACAGGTGTCCTTCGCAATTCAATGAAAGAGAACGGGAAAAGAAGTAGAGAAACTCTTTCCGGCTCAAATAGAGAAGCTTTCTCAAACGCCTGGAACACATCAGAGATTTGCGGCCTGGCCCAGGCACCGACTGTCTACGTCACTTCTTGGAAAGAATAACGCGCTAACAGAATACGGCAATGCCAGCACTTTCAACGGACTCACGAGCGTAAGGCCACAAAATCCACAATAAGCAGAGGGCATAATGCTTTGTCTGGAGCAGAAGGCTGGGGCAAGACAACTCTGAAAGGTCAACACATTGGAGTAAGGTCTTATTATGCATGTTGCGCAAGCAATCTTGGAAATGGCCCTATTTTTGTCCTGCATAACGAGCTTCAGGGCTCCCTTGACAGTCTTTAGAACCACACACAGCTGGCAAACCAATGCATACCACGTGAATGCCACATGATGACTGGGCAAATTAGCGGCTATAAGTCTTGGAAGGGTAAAGCAGCAATCGCAAAATTCACTCCAACTCGCAGTGCATCAGAAGTGCCCTCTGAGACTCGCAGTATCTGTCGAACAGGAGTGATGGAGAAACTCGATTGAAAGCGCCTACAGAGAGTAAGCTCTTTCAAGGTCATCAAAGCCGTGTGAAAAGTTGCAGAAAGGGTTTCGACAAGGGCCCAGATATGCAAACCAATGTTGATGCAAAGAATGAAGAGAAGCAACTTCTGGAATGTGGTTTGATTCATCTCTAGAGAAGTTGCAAAAAGAAGAGTTCAAAGAGATCCAACATTGGCGCCTCCCTAAATTTGGACGAATGATTGAAGGGTGCAATACGATGCAGATTCCCAGGCCATTTGCAAAACGATTATGCGCGAAACAGGCTTGTATGCGGAGAAAAAGACTGGCGCCACAACGACTGCAACAGGGGGCACTCCCAGTCCTACAGCAATGATGCGTAAATGCCGTGCAACTGGCTGCAAAGACGAGTTCATTCTCGTCAAGAAAAAAAACACGCTTAAATGCCGGGGGGAGTGGCTGATACAAGTATTGTCCAAAGCAGAAAGCTGCTAATACAAGTATTGTCTATAGTACAACCTCTTGATAAACCTAGATGCAGGCAAGCCACCTGGTAGGGCAATAACAACCCAAAATGTCTGCGAGCTGGAGGGACATGTTGACAGACGTTTGCTAAACAGAACCTTGCCCCCAAGAGAACAAGGCGACTGTAGCCCTACAACTGTTGAGATGGGTAACGGGAGAGTTCCAGCTCTAGTAACGAAAGGTCTTAGTTCCAATGCTTCCATTCTATTCACATGGGGCAGTAAGGCTTATCAAGAGCATCGGGAAAGCTGCTCGAGGTTTGTTTGAAGACATCACTAACAAACCAGCTCAACGAGACAGAAGCTTAACAATTTTGTCGCATACCTGCTTCAGTTGGTGCGGCAGCAGCCGGCTCCCGGTGGTATGCAGCCCTTGTGAAACACTCAGGAGCAGCGATGCTCTTCAATCGCTTTTTCAGGTCCTTGTAATTTAAAAACTTGTCCTGCCAGTCAGGAAGGGTATCTTCTATTTGTGTCCGCAGCCTCTTACCGAACTTCATCGTGCTAGTTGCTGTGCCCCTTTTACCTCGAGCCCTATGACCTCTCAGATGCGCGCGTGATGACGTCTAGCCCTCTGGTTTGAATACTCTTATATACACTACTGGGCAAAAACGGGTCTTCTAATACTTCCCCAAAGCTCAACTCTCTGATGCTTTGACAATTCAGGAAAGCATGCACGCGGCTTCTCAGGTTCCCCCGTGCTGCCTGGGTTGCAAACAACAAAAGAAGCTCGACTAGATAAGTCCTCAACTACTCTCGAGGAGAGCCGAGCAGCAGGCTAACCCTACCCTGCGTATTGCAACTGTATGCCTATGGGCCTTTTGCTTCTGAAGACAAAATTGTGTGTCAAAAACCAAGCCAACCCATACAAGCTTATGCAATCATTGCTAAGAAATGCTTCTTCTCAAACACTCATTCGTACATGCATCAAAATTTCTCCCAGGATGCCGTATTCCCCTCACTTTCAATCCTAGAACGCTAGCTAGCCTTTCTGCATCATCAAGTTCCTTCTGCATGAAGAATCTCCGGCGGAGAGTTCCAAAGCCCCGATATTTGCCCTGGAAAAGATCCAAAGGGATCGCAAGTTCCTTCTCCTGGCCAGATTCCTGAATCCTGAATCAGGGGATTCAGCTCTCTCAACTCTCAGACTCTAGTCCTTCTTCTGCAGGCTGCCCAGAGATGGCACTGCTTTCTTGTAGGTACAGTACCTGCACTGTCAAAAGCGCCTCTGACACGAGCCCACAAAAGCTCACTGTGGAATGCAAGTTGCAACCCGTGTGGTGGTGTGACGCTGTGCAGTGTGCGCGGTACAGACGAGTTAGATGGAATCCCGGGAAGCAGGAGGGAATCTGGGGACGACAGCGAACCTCCGGTACCCAGCTGCGTACACACAGCGGTACCGTACCGAGTTGACCGAGTACAGATATAGGTACCCCTGGATCGCTTTGCTTCATTGGCAGTCGGTACACAATCTTCCGATAGTGCACGGTCCATCCAATTCGTAGCGACAAGAAGCAATCGAACCAAAGCTGATGAAGAAGGGGCCTTGTCGCTGATTCACGGAATATGAAGGCATGGTTTGCCGGGCAGTTGGACGCCCGGTAGGGGATGTCACCATGTGCCAACCTGGTCTTGTCGAATTCTACATTCTGGTATGGACCTGACACATGATCCGGTACCAAATGACGTCAACTATGGGGGCCGTTTTCCAAGATGCTGCCAGGTGGCCTGACGCGACAAAGCGAGCTTACAGGTCAACCGTTACATGCCGTAAGACTTGGAAATTGGGTGGACCTTGTTTTTGTAGCAGGCACGTTAGTCGGGAAGCCGTTAACCCATTATAACTGACTCCTTAAGAGACCGTAACCTAGAAAGATTCCGGCGCCTCTTTTCATGCCGGGCTATGATTGCGTACGATCGTACCGCTTGTGAGTACCGAACGACTGGGTACGGTAGGTACATGAAAACTTGGTACCAGGGTTGCGGGTCCCGGGACCGATGCGGGTGTCATCACTAACAGTTTTGAACCGTACCCAGAGCTGAGAGTACCCAGACGGTAGGTACCTACAAGGTTCCGTTGTGCAGATTGGAATCAAGACTCCGGCAACTCCTAGCGACGTGTGACTTAAGATAGGCGCCCGGGAGACGGGTGGGTTAGGTAAGGTGATTAGGTTGAGCTGGGGTGCGGAGCGATTGATTATTTCGGTTGAAAATTTTAGTTTGTGTGCCCGGGTAAATCAAATGTTACGAGGTCACACGGCCGTTGAGTTGCCATACTGCTGAATGACGGCTACCGGTACCTAGCTACGGTAGTAACGGTACGGTACCTACAGGCCAGTTATTTTGCACTACCGGTGCCGTATTAGGCTGAGTACCGGTACCTGTTAGACGGTACCGTGCCTACGGCGTACCGTAGGTACGTCAGGAACCTGATATTAGGTTAGGTTAGGTTTCGCCACGAACACTTAAGTCACTGCACAGGGTTGAACAGGCTTGAAGGCTAGCACTGTAGCAGCCGGGCCGGCTGCAGGGCCTAGGAATCCTAAATCTGTCGATTCAATCGGTAGACGGTGCAAAATGCCACTCTAAACCAGTGCTTGTGGAAGACAACCTGTGTGACAATTCTACTCGAAAGAACATAGGTACCGTACACACGGTACCTGCGCCGGCAAAGGCAGCATGGGCTGTGCAGTGTGCAATGTGCATGCAGGCTGCCAAGCATGCTGCGTCACGCACCAGCCAGCTGCGCACGCACCCCAACTCGGACATCCGCTAGGAACTTGGAAGTTCCGAACTTCCGAAGACCCAACACTGGCAACAGCGAGTGGATCCTGGATTCTGGTAGGCTGTGGTCTTGCCATTCATGCCACTCGTGGAGTCGTGGTGGAACGTTGAAAGTTGAAGCATTGGGCCCTGTCTCGCGGCAGGGATGTAGATTGAAAGCATGGGCCCTGACAATGCTTCTCGCAAAGTTATGGTACCATCCGCGTTAGTGGCAATGCAGGGTGTTCACAAGCGGAGAGAGTTGACGAAGGGCTTGGTGAAACTTTACGCGCCTCCATGAATCCAATTGAACAACTAGCGAAATGTTTACGCAGTGGGGTAACTGTCTGACTCAGAGGAGGTGGTATTGTCTGGCCTTAACAAGTGTAGTCTGTAGATAGCGTGTAACTTGACTTTGTAACTACAGCCCAAATTGGTGGCGACCTGGATACGAGGTCTGATCATTTTCTGGTGGTGGCAAAGCAGCGGAGCTGCGCCAAATTGAGGCGATGGCTCAGATTGAGGCAAAAAAAGTCAAATAGGCGCTTCTAGTCACATTTCCTATTCCACCTGGGACCTTCAGAACTAGAGTCAGAAATGGACTGCATTTCTGAAAGCAGCTGTCTTAGACCAATTAAAGAGCGCTAAGCGCAGCGCAGACGTCCTAGCTTGCTAACTGGAGTGCAGCTCACTGACGACCAAAATACTGATTCAAAATCCAGCAGGGAACAAGCGTGGGTTCAGAATGCGCCATAAGGTCACGCACCACTTCTGGTTGCTGGATGGCGTTCGCATAGCTGCCTTCATTTGGACGGTGGCGCTTCACACTGAAGCTATGTTGTTCCTGGCCGCCCCAGCCGACCAGGTTGAGGGGCATTACAACCGGAGCGCCAAAATGTTCTGGCACAGGTTGTTGTTTTGGCAGGTGAGGTATCGCAAGTGTACTTAGTTCCGTATTTGTTGGACGAAACAGGTGGTGGATGTATCCAACGAAAATATAAGCTTTCTGCATTGTGTTCGACGACCAGTAAGTTGGTTCAATCTACCGCCTTGACAATCTATTAGGGTAGTTTTAAAGAGCTAGATTTAAGCGCAGGCGACCAACATGTGAAAGTGGAAGAGAGTCTGCTTGTACGATGTGTTTGAAGTGTTTTACTCTATGTGTCGGTCTTTAGTACCACCACCAATTGTCACTTTGAAATCTATGCTAATGCCAGAGTCGTAAACCTTTGCCTGACCCGCTTTACCCTTCCAATCCTCAAGCCCCTTTCTTCCCTTAAAACGTTCCAGGAAAAAATAAAGTGCGTGAACACTTTCTGATGGCCATTACACAACTTCAGCAGCCAAAGCAGGACCTGCGCTGATACGCATGTTTCCTACTTGAAAACCGGGTCAACTTTAACGGTCCCAGCCTCTGTACAATATTCACCAACTTTTGATGGAGCGTTGGCAGCTCCCAGAAGCAACGACATCTATGTCTTTGGAGGTTGATACAAAAGTTCGGTTCTGCAGGGCCACTTTGCACTGGACATCTTTATGCTCCTAAGCGGCTTCCTCTTCTCGGCTAGCTGTTCTCCTTCCGAAAAGGGCTCGCTCTGGATCGGCGTTTCATCCTGCCTCGTTCGACGGCTCAGGCGCCTGGCACCGCTCTATTACCTGGTCCTTACAGTCCATCTGCTCACGCCAGCTCCAAGAAAGTGAGGCGCTCGCATTTATCCAATGATCTCTGCCTCGGTCCTCCAGTGCATATGATCCCGACCGCTGCCATCCAAAGCTTCTCTGGTTTTCTGATGAAGCTGTTCAACGGTCCAAGCAAATAGACGGCAAACTTGACCAGTCCAGTTTAGCTAAATTTTGTTAAGTGTCAAGCGTTCGTCAGCGACAGGCTTCATGCGTATAGCAACACCTTGGTCTTTCAAGCGGCTGCTACAGCAGCCAAGCCCTGTCAGTACGCGTGACAAAAGAACCAGTGTACTCGAATGACCGAGAATCGACAGAGAGGGAATTGGGAGATGCAAAGACAGCCTATGCTTATGGTCAGTCTGGTAGCAGTGGTCTTGGAAGGACGCCACTCAATATTGAATGGTCCAAGGCTTTCTTTAATTTCTTTGCAAACATACTTTTTAGTCTCGCTCTTACGTCGGGGCTCGACCTCCTATGTCTATTCAAAGGAGAGGGATTGTATTGCAGAAGTTGCTTTGCAATTCAGATTTTTGCGAAATTTTCAAGTGTCTGCTCCTTTAGTGGAAGCTCCTTGTCGTATTACCTTATTGGGTACAAAATCTTGGCGTCAAAGATCGAGCACTGGAAAGATCAATTAAAAATGAAAGCTACTATACGCAGCTCACAAGAGGCTGTGTGCGCCACAGTGCAGGGAGAACGCATGGCGCGCTTTTCTTTTCCTGAGCAACACCGTGAGCGTCGAGCAGCAGTATCTCCCTCATACGTGGTCCGTCTCCTTAGACGTCCAGGTAAACCGAACCTTTCATGTCTTCTCCTTTTCTTTCTCGTGTTTTCTGTTTTCTTTCCTTCCTCTTCTCTTCTTCTTTTCCCTGACTGTCCCCGGTCTTGTCATTAACTTCTGCTCGGTTGCTGTGTTCACGCCTTCTGCATCCTTTGAGTTGTACTTCGACCAGAGAGGCTGGGAAGTCGATCATGCCACTGTGACAGGTTGGCCCCACTTTATGTGAGGGCATGGGGATGTTTTGGGGTTACAAGCCGGTGAAGCAGTGCCAGGCTGGCCTGTTCATGTATCAAAACCTGACCACCTTGAAGTCGACGCTGACCTCCACGTTATATTTCCCCTTTGGTCTTTGATTGCAAAATTTAGAGTCGAGGCAGGATCCTGGGGAGGATTCTGATTCGCTCCGTTATGTCGTTCTGGAACAAAGGCGTTCGGACACTGGGAAGTAGTCAGAGGCAAACCCAGCCTCGGGCAAACTCTCTAACGTGCGGTCATAGGTGGTTCGATTTTTTACCAGATGGTAGGAGAGTAATCAACAAGCAATTAGGAGGCGAGCGTCTCTCGTAACGGCAGCAAACTCCCTGTGAAAAAGACGGTCCTAAGTGGGATCTGATGAAGTTTTAACCTTGCTGACCTTAAGTGAGTTCGGACAGGAAGCCTGTTTCAGCGACGGTCTTCAAACTCCTGTTGATTGATTGAAATTTTCGCTGACAGCCACTCCTATCATTTCAGCAGCACTCCGTACTTAGGCACTTCCTTTCGTCCCATCCACCATACCTTCCATGCGAAGACGTCCGTTTCTTCGAATCCGAAGGTGACGGTTGCCGAACAGAAAGCTGTGAGTTGCTCTTTGCAGGCCACTATCGCTCTTTATCTGCTGCACCGATGGGCGGCTTCGACTCCCACACGCAGGAGTGGCGCCGAAACGGCGCCTGAATGCCGACGTGTCACTGCCAGATTGGCTTCTGCTGCAATCATCTTTACTCTGTACGGAGTGGGCATGTCCAGCTGGCTCGTGTACGGGGAACAGCGCTTCCGACTGCCTCTGAAGGTGATTTGTTTCGAGCTCTGGTTTAAGGACCGAGACGCGCAGTAAGAAAACCATTGCGTGGCCCTAGCCTGGCTGGTATCCTGTTCGTGACATTCTGTCGCTTCCAACATGGTCTTATGGCGACACGCCTATAACGAGGCACTTCTAAGATGCACGTCGTTGTCTTCCGGAGACTTGTTGAATGTGTTGGGTTGGACGGATCCTGGACAGGTTGGCTTTGACGACTCCGCTCAATCTGCGTAGGACGGTACTTCTTTGGCAACAGACAGATTGCGAATTTTATACTGTTTCGTCGACCAGGGTTGCCTGAGCCTGTTTTCATGCTGGAGGCTTCTGCTTCTGACCTGTAGTCGTCCGGGTTTGACCTCTAAACGGAACCTCATCTTGAGATAGAAGTCTCCTCTAACAAATTGTTTTCAGACACCCTTCTCTTGGGACGGCCTTTTCTTTGGCCCTCCCTTTGCTCAAGACTGGTGCATCAGTCGGATCCCGTCCCTGACAGCTGTCGTTTTGAATGATCCCGTTTCCTTTTGGACGCAACTCGCTTTCCTCAATTGGCCTCGCCCGCTGTGTAAACTCTTTCTCTTCGCACGGACTGTACCTGCAACAGAGCTGGAGTTCGGAGACAATCTGCTTTGGAAAGAAGTCACGTCGGACAGTACTTTGACTTGAGTTGACTCTCGGGTTTTCGCAGGTCCTTGGGCACGAAGCCTTCCGGAACTCTGGCGTCGACCTCTCCTCCGCTTATCAAACCTTTTACGAAATCGTGTACCTTTGTAAGTTGTCTCTCATCGAACACTCTCCCATGAAAACTCGAGTTGTTTGCATTTGGCGTCTCTAGAAGCTCGGTGTCACCATAGGGCCATGGCTCGTGAGAGTTGGTGTTGCTGATGGCTTCCGCTGCACGAGATACTTTTGCTTCGTGGTGACAGGACCGCTCACGCGAAGGCCAGAGCCCTTGCAAGGAGCCGTTTCTCTGTCATTATTCGCCCATGTGTTTTGCAGCGCGCTCTTTCATTTGGGTCTGGCTTCATTGAGCCTTTACAACAATCGATGCGTCCGTTTGTACTACTGCTGAATTCATAACTCGTGGAAGCGGCAGCATTCCTGGTCAACCACAGTTGACAGCTCAAGCGCTTGCTTGACGGGTTGGCCTCCTATGAATGTCACGTTTAAATTTGACGTGAAAAGGCAATGTCGACAGGTCAGACTTGAGTTTAAGGAATCGAAAAACTGCTCGACCCTATACTGTCTATTTGAGGTTAGTGTGCACGAAAGGAACCGTCACAAGCTTCGTATTGACTCTGCATCAACCTCAGAGAGTCCCACTCCGTGATACCGCCGTACAGAATAGACAACGATTGGATCTCACGTCTTATACTGTACCGGAGCAAGACTTTGCTGATTGGACGACTTCGGCTTAAGAAGCACGACGCTGGATCTCCAATGTCCACGTTGGATTTGAAAACAAATGAGACCGTAGTCCGGCTTTCCGAAGCCTGACTTGGATTCCTTGCTTTCTTTCAGCACTCCCAGTCCGATTGCCGGCGTACCTGGTCGGATCCGTTCTCTGGCACATGAAGTACGGACGCGGAATTTCGACGGCCGTTCCGGAACCGCACAAGCTGGGACTGAGCTTCCTTGCTACGGCGCTGTGGTGAGTTGGTGACAAATTGGTGTTGTTAGGTGGGGTTTTGGACTTGCTTTGATCCATAGATGTGAGAACGAGGTTTGAGTTGCTCGCACGTTTCAGACATGCTATTTGATATCCCTCGGTCCTCGAGCAAAGCAAAGTTCTCTAAAGCCTCCTTTTCTATTCAAAAGGGAACATCAGCAAACAGCAGAAAGCTGAAAAGAGACTACAGTTTGTCGTGTATGCTAGAGCTGAGACCTTGACATCCGCCCCAGGCTCGTTCGTCGTTGGTGTTCGAAGATTAGGTCCTGAACCCTTGAACACAGCCTGCCCGTCTTTCCCTCGCCTTGCCCTTGTCGACGACGTCAGGATTCCTCACCTGATAAGCTCTGCATAATACTCCGTCTAGATTACTGCGAGTCCCGGCGAGTCCCGTCTCTTGACAGGGTTTGGCTCGTTCTTCTCCGACCCATCACTGTGGCACGTCAACTTTAGGCAGGTCCTTGGATGAGTTTCTGGTCGACGTCCTTTTTGAGTCAAATCGTAACTACAACATTGAGTCGGGGTTCCGTAGAAAAGATTGAGAGTCCGTTCCTGACTCCTGTGTTAACTATCCTCCCAGGTACTCGTGCCTCGCTCTGCCGTTCTCCTCGTCGGCGGGCCTGGCTGACTACAGCGCAATCACATCCGTAGGAGTTGCGGCAGTCGCGAGGCCCGCTGCTGCCCTCGCCACTGCAATTTTGCTGTACGCATGGCTTCCTAACAAACAGAAACTTCCGGAACCTCATCAACAACCGCTGGAAGGGTCTCTTCGTTCAGAAGCGCTTGAGCGAGTTGAGAGATTGGGGGTCTGCCAAGTTGAGTCGATTGAATCGGTGGGAGGGGGAGCGAAAGAGCTGAAGGTTGGGACACGAAGGAGAACGAGAGGCAACGCTAGTGGGTCAAATGCTAGGGAGTCGACGGCTGAAAGCATGGGTGAATATAAGTCGAAACGATTGCCCGGATGGTTGGAAGGAGTTACTGGGAAGTTAGCTTCTCTGTCCTACTGTGCGTACCTTCTGCACGTTTCAATCATTGGAGCATTGCTAATAGCGTTTGGGGAAAAGGCCGCTTTGGTGGAGGACTCCTCATTTTATGCTCGAGGAGACGGCTTGTCAAGTATGTTGAGTCTGGTTAGCTGCGCAGGACTGATACTCAGTTTCGTTGTGGCTTCTCTACTGAGCCATATGCCAGACAAGGTTTGAGGCAAAATGGAGTGTAGAGGCGCTGGACAGCTCCACGCAGATGGTTCTCATCACCCACAGCGAGTAGGTGCCTTTATGAATCTGCTCGGAGCGCGTGGCGATGTGGTTGGAGACCAAAGCAAGCGAATCGCGGATCCCGCATGGTCTCTAGCAGAAATGCCAAGCGCTCCGCTGAGCGGCTCTCAAGGCCATCTATTTGCAAGTTACTGTTGAATTTAAAAGCGTTGCAATGAGGCGGCATCCATCCATCACACTATGTCACGCGATGGCCACATGGACGACACTTTATCAGACTGAATTTTCGGAATGCATCATGCCATGCAGGGTGCTATAATATCAGTAATGCTAATCAACACCAAGCGTCTGCACATGCTGAATTCGGTTTCTATACGATATAGCTGAAACGGTCCATGGCTGCTGTATGCACGTTGCAAAGCATTGCGCATGATTCATATGTATAATGTAGCCAGCTGCCCTGGCGGATTCCGGTGGGCCGGACAGAGCGGAGAGACTAGAGAACTCGTCAAGCTGCCCGTGCCAGCATTTCCCTAGCTGTCTGAAGTCAGAACAGCTCTGCAAATCGCGCATTGAACTTGCGTTGGCGAAAGTTCTGTGGATTCCAACTTTCCTCATACATAAGTTTTAGCTGCCAGTGTGATTGGCATTGCTGCAAGCTATCCGCAAGTTCTTATTTTGTCACGGGTGGCACTCACTTTCCTGTCATTGTTCGCTGTTGCGATCAGGCAGACATGGAAGATCTCTTTGGGAAAGCCTTGGGTGCCCTTGAGGGCACTGGGGCAAAAGCGCTGAGCGCTTTGGAATCTTCCTTGAACGAATATCCAGAGGCCAACCTGGCTGCCATTCCTGCTGCTCCAAAATCACTCCCTGAAACTGCACCTGTCGCTCCATCAGCGCTATCTGCTGCAGAACATGTCTTATCTTTCTGGGAAAACCTGGACCTTGAGAGCAGAAAGACGCAGTGGGACAAGATTGGCGTGCAGATCAGCCAGTTCCAGGATACGTCCGCTCAGAACAGGCGCAGCCTGGCAGAACAGACCAAGGCCTACAGGAGTGGAACGGCCTCAGAGGCGGAGAAGCGAAAGCTGATCCCGCTTTATCAGGCGGAGATTGACAGTTTGACAAAGAGGGCGAAGTATGCGGAGAGCAGCTGGAGCAGCATGTATCAGCTTCTGTGTGATGCGCCAGACGTCGTGCCTACTCTCAGCTCCATGCTGGAGATGTCTGAGCGGGTTGTGGAAGCGGAAGGGGAGGCGAGGAAGTGCCGGCAGGAGTTGGAGGCAAGTTCTTCACATCCCCAGAGAATTTCAATATGCTTTTGATTGTCAGCATTGGCACTGTGTGTGCCATGGGATATTACATTCGCCCTCCTTTGGCAGCTTCGCGCCAAAGAGCAACTTGAAGTTCTTGATGGCATCATCGGCATCAAGGATAGAAAAAGTTTTTAATTCTACAGAATGTAATCCCCAACTTATGACAGGAACGAAGTAACTCTAGACACCTGAACCCATACATTTACCTGGTCGGCACCTGTGCCCCACCCTAAGCACCCCAACTGACCATACCCGTCCCGGGATTACTTGAGCTCAATTTAAACTTCTGAGAGACCAACGCAGATGTTGCTTTGGAGTGGTGGTATGCCCCTCTAATTTTTACAGGTGAACGAGAAAGGTCTGCCTTCAATTATGAGCAGATATGAGAAATGCACTTCAAGAAGTCAAACACCCAACAATGGGGTCTTGTCTGGGCCAAGTAGCACAGCATTGAGAAGCCATGCGTGCAGTGAAGTGGGGGCATTTAGTTTTTCTCTCATATATTTTGCACCACCTCAGTGGATAGCAGCCCGTCGTGAACGCCCCTGTGACTTGCCCCAAGCTTGATATTCTAATTTAGGAATGAGGTGACGATTTGTTTCAGCGTCAAAGGATTGACTGGATTTAAAGCTGAGGTTGTTGAATATGCATCGGTTTGCAGATGGCACGGAAGGAGGCTGGCAGTGCCAAGGCACTGCAAACAGCAAATCGGAGACTGGAGGAACATTGTTTGGAGCTGGTAAGCTGTTGGCTTTCTCCGTGACTGGGAACTGCCGGACGCGGAAAGGAGAACATTTGTTGGTTACTCTGACCGTTTAGCCGTAGGAGCAATACTTGATGCCTTCAGCTTTGTGATTGTTCCGTTTCTGTCAATTCTTGTTTCCTTTGTCATACAGCTCGTAGGAAGTCGTTGCCTCGAAAGCATGCCTGCGAAATGTTTCTCTAGGTCAGCGAACATCTTTTTTTGTCTTGCTTCTTTCAAAAAAGGCTGCTTTCCCCTCGGGAAGTTCTAGCTATGATTCTTACACCATGTTATGAAGAATGGCAGTGCTTCAGAAGCTAAAAATTCATGAATCAAGCAAGCGGTGAGGTCAAGGCTTGTTCAAGACTGTGAAAATAAGCACAAACGGAGTACAAGAGATACATCTGACCCTCTTGTTGGCTGCTTGATGGAGAGAACCCCGAAAGTTTTGTGTCAATGCCGATTGTAGCTGCGGTCGAACCAGGCAGCAGGCGGACTCCTCAAGAAAGTGTATCTGGTTGCCACCAAAAAACTCTTTGTCCCATCACTTTGCGATGAACTGCTGTTCAAGTCTAATACACCCACTGCTCCTCCCAGCCCCTTGTTGACTCATAGTTGGGTTTCCACTTCTAACCGACTTCACACAACTGCAGGAAAGCGCTATGGACCGGAAAGTTGAGGAGGCGGTCGCGCTGCGCCTCAAAGAAGCAGAGCGGGAGAGGGATACATTCCAAGCCACAGAAGTCGCACTCGCAGCCCAGCTGGACTCCGCAAAAGAGGCGCTCCAAACCCTCCAAAGACTGCACGACAAAACTCAAAGCCAGTTGTTCGATCTACAAAGCGAGTCAGAGGCGAGAAAGGCCGCTAAGCAGTACGAGCTCGAAGGGTTGATGGAGGAACTAGAGAAGGCGCAGGCGCGTGCCGAGGGTTTGGAACGCGTTAATGCGGGGTTAGCCCGGGAGTTGGAGGGGGTTAAGGCGGGGTCAAGGGAGAAGCCGAACGTGAGCGACATGGAGGGGAATCTGCAGAGCAAGGAGGAGCTGATCTCGAGGCTGCACCAGCAGATGCAGCAGCTAGAGCAGGAACTAGCGGTGAGATTTTTTGCAATTCAAGTTCTGCGATCATCGGTGGACAGAACAGAGAAAGGCTGTAGATGGACTTGTCTTGTGGAAGGAGGGCCAAAACCGTGGAGGCGGTCTTCTGCTGCCTATGAAAATACCCGTCTGTTTTTGGGGATATGCTTTTCAACTTTTAGCAGAAGTTGGTAGCGAGTTTTTTTCAAGTGTGATCCTTCTTCTTCCTGGTGGACGGGGGTAGGGCCCAGTTGCTTTTCGTCTTGGTCCTCAAAGAGACTTACTAAGATGACTCTCAGCGGACAAAATGCGACCCTAAAGTTGAACGGTTGATACTTTTGAAAGCACGAAGGAGCACAACCACAAACTTCGGGCCTTGCTCGACAGTCGGCTATTGTGGCTTGCGACGCAGAAGGTCTCCTTTTTTCTTGTGAGCATATTCGGCCATCCTTTTTCTTCTTCAATCCGACCTTAATTCGTACAAAAGACGACTGAGAGACTAACGGAGGGTCTGCGGTTTACAGAAGCAAAAGGGTGCAAGTCAACCGTGGTCCTATCAAAATTTTTAGTCAAGCCTCTTATTCTATAACATCTGGCGTGGCATTTCAGGCACTGCAGCTGGCGACCCTGATCAAAGGCAGGGGCGGAAATATATTGTTATCAGGTGCTGAATGTAGGGTCTCCTTAAAGAGGGCGTGCCCCTATAAGACCCCTCTTCCTAAGACAAGATTGTGCCCGGGGATTCACGGCTTAGCATAGTGGCAGAGCGCTCTCCCGCATGTCATAAAATCACGGCTTCGATTCTCGGTAAAACGGGCTTCTTTTGCGTACCCTTTGGTTCCCTACAGAGCTACGCACACAGATTCACAGTGCTTTCCCTCAAGGTGAACTTGTTATAGACTGGAATTGAAACTCTTGGACTTGGGAGATCCAAGATGTACGACCCGGAGATCCGGCGCTTTGCGGCGCAGATCTCAAAATTTTCACAGCAACATGATGTTCAGCCGTGGTTCTCCGCCCGGACTCGGTGTGGATTACAAGCTGCCGTACGGCGTTGCTTGAAATCTTCAACCGGTCGCTAGATTTAAAGTTCACGGTGATACCGTCGATCGCTTCCACCGTCATGGAACGCCCCTTTTAAGGTTTGATTGCTCATTTGTTCACCAGATCTGGAAAGGCCCTCGTGAACTCTCGATCAGCAATGTAAAGCCTGATCTTTTATCGTTGCAGGCTGAGCGGGCCTCTGCAGCAGAAGCGGAGCAGCGCCTCCAAGCGGAAGTCGATGACGTCAGCAAAGAGCGGGACAGCCTGCAAGAGGAGCTGAGCGCGCGGCCGACCGCTGAGCAGTTGGAGGAGCTCCGAAAGAAGGTGAGCAGCGTTCACACGCATCTACTTCCCAGTCGTGACCGCATACCCTGTCCGAATGGTGAGGGTAATACCACGACCCTATGGTATTGCCTCTGCGGAAAAATTGTCGAAACGACGTCGACGAAAAGAACAGCGTTGAGAAAAAGATTTCGAAACCAATGCCCACAATCGGTTCAACTTCTATGACCACAGCTTACCGGATCGGGGCCCTATGCATTCCGCATATGCAAGCTAGTGTGGACCCATGTCTTTGAGCCGCCCATCTCTTATGATGAGAGCCGTTCCCGTATGCAGATCCGCATATTGCAAGCGCTTGTCGGGACCGACGTGGACGAGACGTGGGACGAGGACGGCGCTGAGGATGACGAAAGCGCGCGCATCAGCGGGATTCTGAAGGTGGGCGCTTCTGTCTCGTCTCTGGACATGCAAGGTCTTATGAAATTCCAGAAAGCAAAACGAAGAAAAAGCATCTTCAAGCTCTTCTCGATCGCCCGTGTCGTCGTGTCCAGCGCCTCCTCGTTTGAGCTCAAAGCGGGAGCAAAAATGTGACTTATGTGCATGTTCGATGTCCGCATTCACAAAATCGTTGTAAACGGTGACCTTGCAAGTTCAAAGATGGCGGGAGTGCTCAGGTCAACGGCGTACGAGCGGCCAACTTATTGAGTTGTTCCTCGAGACCATATTTGCTAACTTGTAGCGCATTTGTTCTCTTTAGGCAATAAGAAAGCAAAGAACACCAGATCAAAAGAGGCAAAGAGAAAAAACGATAACACATGCGAATGCTCCTTCGCAGGACACGAACCGAAAACTAGCGGCGGAGCTCACGGCCGCCCGGATTGCGCTGGGCGACCGAGACAACGAACTAGGCGCGGCGCGCGGCCGGGTCGAGGAGCTGGAGGAGAGCCAGCGGGAACTTGAGGGCCTGGTAAAGAAACTAGAGGACGACCTTGTGACGGTGAGGGATCCAGAGTCTGGGTTTCTGAATTTCCACTTTACGCTTCTGCTGACTGTCGACCTTGCTTTGGAAAAGTGAGACAAACTTGCTCTGGAGAGTGAGAGAGAGGGAGACGGAAAAGAGGAGTGGAAAAGTTTGGAAGGTGCTTTTGAAACATTGGGCGCTCGAGGCAACAAGGTTCCGAAGTTCCGATGTTGCATTGCCTCCTATTTGCTTCAGAAGTCTTGGGTTGATAAAACACAGGATCAGATGATCTAACGCACGGGGCAGAGCAGATAACCCAAGAAGCAATTAAATGAGCAACGACTTGACTCACAAACATACAAACTGATGAGCGAACTAGAAACGGACGAACTGACGAACGAAGTAATGGACGAAGCGACGAACAGAGTAACGAACAAACACATCGAGCGACCAGGGCGCAGCGACTGCTGGACGGACGCTCTAAAATGGGTACGGGTATGGACCAGGGGAACCTGATGGGTTAGGGTACGACTTAAAATGTCCGAGCTCTGGATTCCTGAATCGTCAAGTCATCCTGCCCAGGCTCAAGGCGCACGCAGCAGCGACAGCTGGACGGACAGTCAACCGCGCGGAAAAGGTAGGGTCAGCCTGGGAGGTTAGGGTGGGCACGCGTCTGGACCTGGTGATCTGACGGGTTAAGGTTTTGATTGTAGCTTACTATTTTTGAAAGCTCAGCAGTCCTCAATCACACGTCATTCTTTCCAGGCCCAAGGCGCAGGTGGTGGCGACAGCTGGCAGGACGGTCCGCCCACCATCGACCGGCTGCTGTCCGGTGCCCGTCCGGAGGCGTCCGGCTCGAGCGGCGAGGCCGCGCCTGTAGAGGGGTCCATGCTCGGGATCGTGACGGCGCAGCGGGAGCGGTTCCGGAAACGAGTGGCGGACCTGGAAACGGAATACGGACGGCTGCTTGACAGTCTAGGTAAGACTCTCAGGCCATATCACCCTTCGTCCATGTTTCGGCGGCAAACTTGAGTGCGTAGTTAATGCGCTTCGAAAACTGTGAGAAAGAAGGATTCATGGCCGGAGTCCGTGATGGCGCACCGGGAGCACTTCCGGAACGGGTGACGAATTTGGAATCGGAAAACGGACAGCTGCTTGACAGCCTAGTGAGAATCTCCGGTTGGAATGGGGACTGTCAAGTTCGTCTTCAGTCTTGAGCTTAGGACTTTGATATAAGGCTTTGAAGTCGGAGGGTCGTGACCTCAGGATCGTGACAGCGCAATGGGAACTCATAGTAGGATTGCGCAGCGGGAATCCGAGATGGAGAGCGGCTGGTTACTTGAAACCCTGAGTAGGATCAGGTTCTTCATCATCGCTCCTCCTTTTCGAGCCTTTCGTGTGTGTTTGTCTTGAGAAGAGTCTCTTGCTGGCAGTCTGGGTAAGCTTTTAAGTCGAGATGTTCACAAGGGGGCTTCCCTATTCCGAGCTCAATATCTCGTGCCGTTACAGGACCCCTCCGTTTCACGTACGGCCCTTCGAACCCAACTTCGGATAGATAAGCGAAGACAAGCTCAAGTCAGTATAGAAGCCATCTTCATTGTGGTGTGCCCCTTATTTCCTCTGACCGCACCCCTTTCTTCCCCCACAGGGCGGGCCCAACAGGAGACCGCCAAGCTGACGTCAGACAACGTCAGCTTGTACCAAAAGATCCGCTTCCTGGAAAACTTCAACTCCCAGAAAGCGCCAGAGTCCAAAATCCGACGGGTCGGGGGGCAACAAACCGGGAACGTGACAGTTGTGGGGGGCACTGGGGCGGGGCGAAAAAGCAGTCGGTACGCGTGTTTCAGCATGGATGACCCAGGGGGTTTTGAGGGGGGGCGGCAGCCGAGAGACGAGGAACTGGCGGGGGGTGGGACCGGCCCAGGTGAGCGGTTCCTTGGTCTCCTTATGCCCTTGTTTATCGTGGCCTCAACTCCACACGGGTGTCACGCTTCGGTGTCTCCCAGGAAAGTTGTGCGCTTTCTCCCTTGTCGTGCTATGGCCGACGTCGCGGTCGCTTTCGACGTGCGCAGCCTCTCGGGTTGTTCAGGTTGGCCCTCCACATAGTGGAGATGAGTTGCAGGCCTCTCGAAAGTTTCTCACATGCTTGACAGACAGCGAAGAGGCGCTTCGTTGGGGAGAAAAGCGCAGTCTAGATTTTTGTTGCCAATTCCAGGTAGCGACAGCTTTGGATACTTCGGAAGGCCTAAGTGTCTTCCTACTCAAAGTTCAAGAGTAGAAAGAGTGCTAAGGCAGGTTATCTCCGAGCGAAGGCCACCCTTGAGAGCGTGCAGGTTGCCTCCGAAACGATTCTCGTCTATGCGGACCCTCTTTTGAACGTGCTCGTTCTCAATCCCCAGCTGCTGAGGTGCGAAGCCGGGAAAGTACACAGACTACGGGCGACCTTTTCTCGAGCTGGAGGCACCCATTGACAGTGCAAAAATTGCTCTTCAAAATGTTTTCTTTTTCACGCGAGACGCCTTCCTGAAGGCTTCTCTACTGCCGTCTCCAGGGGCTGAGGTGCGGTACCGAAAGATGTACGAGGACCGAATGGACCCCTTCAAGGAGTTTCATCAACGAGAGCAGGAGCAAAGCTACCGGAGCTTACGGCTCCACGACAAGGTGAGTTGCTGCAGTCTCCTGTAGCGGATGCGAAATTGTGTGAAAGGAGTACAGTCTCATTTCAAATCCTTAGACCTGCAAGCAGTTGGCGCTGGCCGAATTTGAGGTATGAGGCGCTGTAGCCTCACTGTTGCGACTTGCAATCCTCCTGATAATCGGTTCACTGTATTTGTGCGAACCGTTGGGGCGCTTTCTCTCTCGATCAGAAGCAGTGGAGGTCGAAGCGTCAGAAAACGGATTCGCAAGCGCACTGAACTGCCCAAAAGCGTCTCTCAACGACTCTGCAAAGTACCTTCAACCGTTCGGCTTCTGCCTCTCACAAAAATCCAACCATTCCGCAGATCACGCTGACGAGCGGGCGCTTCTTCCTGAGCAACAAGTATGCGCGCACCTTCATCTTCTTCTACACGATCCTGCTTCACTTCCTCATCTTCTTCATTTTGTACAACCTGTCAGTGTGTAGTCGGGGTGCGGTAACGGAAGTTAGCGCCAGCCAATTACCGCAAGACTTGTTGGATAACGTTGGGTTAGCAGGACACGTGGAGGCCGGGGGAGAGCGGACCTTGGGGGATGTGATTGCGGAGAAGATGGGCTCTTTGATGGAGGGCGCGAAGAACCTCACAACAGCAACGTAAAAGTCTAGAAGTTCGTGTACAATCCAATAGAGTAGAGTCGTGCCAGCAGGGGGTGTTTAGAATCTTCTACGCAACTGAAGCAGCACAATCATCGCGATCATACATACGTACTCAAAACCGGTGTCCAGCGGAACCTGTACTTGAGTTTGTCCCCAGAAGTCCTTTCACTCTTCATCAGCTTAGCCGCCGTGGTGCGGCCTTGCTAGCCCAACAAGTAAGATGACACGTCGAGCCTTGTGCATGTGCATGCTCAGAATTTGTAGAGAGCTTCAAACATACACGGATTCGGTAGCTTTTTCTTCCGGCCATGCATGGTGTCTCATGCAAACACCGGAATATGCAATATTTGCCTGTAGCGCACTAGATTGCATACTATACAGCGACGTCAGCATCCATCGAACTCCAGATCCCGCCTTAGAACGATGTGTGCCCTAGCTCTTTGATCGATTGCGCGGCCGCGCCTATATGATCATATGCATTGGCCGGCAGTACCGACCGGACCATCATAGATGCCCTATATGGACCGGACACTCTGCAAGCTAGGCTCTGATTCATGTTAATGATCAATGCCCCGATCCAACGCGAATTCATGCTGGTTATCCTCATAAAGCTGTCACTGAACCATCACGGTATAGCATCAGCTGGGCAATTGAGCTTCATCGCGCGCTTCAAAAGACCAATCCAAAGCTTGACCGGAGGCTGCCAAAGCTATTGATCTGCCACAATCTTGGAAGCCGCGGATAGGGCCCCTCGAGTATACGTTACCAGGCAATAAACGAGCACAAATTGTGTGCTTTCACGCGCACACGTTCACCTAACAGCCATCCCATGTATTGCATCCTCAAGTCTTCTCTCTGTCGCTTCTAACTGCCGTTTTTTCTCCTCAACTGCCAGCTCCGCAAGCGCCTTGTCCGGCGGCAAGTCCTGATAACTTCGTAACGTCTCTAACAACGGCTGGGTTTGCTTAACTAGCTCCTGGTTCTTTTGGGCGGCTTGTAACAACGTGCCGTGGTTGATTTCAGGCGTGTACCCAGCTCGCGTCAACACGGCCTACAATAAGAGAGCTCAGGAAGTCAGGAACGTCAGCAACAAAGTAGAGGAACTTGGCATGTCAGAATAACATGTAAAGAAGTTCTTAAAGTAAACCGGAGACAAACCAGGTCCAAAAACAGATTGGATCTGAAAACACCCCGGCAAGAAGCAGTATGGCCTCACCCGCCTGGAACGAGCAAGCCACAATCAGACAGACAATATACATTGATCGAAGAAGAGAAAGGACTAGCATATACATTGATCGAAGGAGAAAAAAGACAAAAGGGGCCAAGTCGAAAAGAGCCCAGTAACTCGCCTTGTAGTTGACCAGCTGTTGAGTGTACTGCCGGTCTTTCGAGATCATAACCTGCATGTACTCGTTCCACGTCTTCATCGGCGCCCGGTGGCTTTCCTCCCCCCGCTCTAGTTCCGCCAGCGCCCGCTTCAGTTGCGCCAGCCGCGCGATGCCCTTGCGCGTCCGCTCGCGCAGCTCCTCCGCCTCGCGCCTAGTTGCGCGCTGGCGCTCGTCCAGGCGTGCGGTTTCCAACGCGAGGTCCGCCATTGCTAGGAGGTAACTGCAGACAAAACTTACGTGTTGCAAAACCTACAAGACTTGGCAGTGTCCGTCCCAATAATATCGTCCCTGGCTTTGAAATCGAAATCTGTACGAGTCAGTTGGCACCGGTCAATTGGCGTTTTGACAGTCAACTTCGCAAGCGAGTCGAAGTCCACCGCACACTGACACAGCAAAGTCGAGACTGGAGTCTTCGATACCCGTAAATATTGCAAGTTTATTGCTTAACCAAGGTTCAAAGATCTCCGAGAACAACCTTTCCAAACGTAGGAGAATCGGTTGAAAACCTAAAATTTCACGTGTCATTCATTCTGCACTCACACCCACTAAAACGATCAATCTGAAACCACCCATCTCCTGGGCGCCCGCATAAGTGGGCGTCGGACGAATTTGACTGTCCGATGCTAAGACCCTCACAAAAATGCCGTCCAATACTGTGACCGTTCTCTGTCTCATAACGAGATCGGAGACGGGGGGCTGACGTCAAGCACACATCGACGGCCTTTAAAGTCCCTCAAGATTTGCAGAAGTGAATCAGCGGTCCCCACCTGCTTGTTTCCGCGTCCCGCAGGTCAAGGTGGTTCGCGGTGCCGGCGAGGGCCCGGAGTGACGTCATCCCCGCTTGGGAGAAGCTCTCGGGGGCGATGCCTGCCATGTCGAGAAGCTCGACTTCTCGGGAAGCTGCAGTAACACTTTAGTCAATGAGGATCTCGGCTGCCTATTCCTTCTGCTTTCCTCTTTTTCCCTCCGAGATTGTTTCGCATCTTCAAGAGCCGTTGGAAGAGCCGAAGGAAGATCTCAACCATTGGAAAGGTCTTATCTATCTATGAGGAGGAAGGCAAGCATCACCACAAGAACTCGAACGACGTACAAGATTAACAGAAGTGGGTTGTTAAGGATCGCTCAATCGCTTCCTGAAGAATGCAAGAAATCGACTTTCCTAGGACCATACTATTTCAGTGAGATTGGGGGAGTGTTACGATTAGCCTCCCGTTTGCAATGATCTCATAGGGAGGGGTTCTGTGACTTGATAGTTCTGGACCTTGGTGTTGGAGAGAAAAGAATTATCAAAGAGGGCGAGGTTACAAACAAGACTTTAGTCACACTGGATTGTTTTCAAAGCTGTGTCTGTGCATGAGCCCCTTACATTCATTCCGAAAGTCCAGGGACATGTCCTGCAGGTCGGCCACCACAATCTCCACCGCTCTAGTTCGTCTGCAGGACAGGGAGCCCCACAATGATTGATATATAGCTGACCACAAAACGGCTTCTTGGAAAACCGGATCAAAGACATCCTTCCTCCCCAGTTCTTTCCTTTTTCACCTCCATTCGCCTGAGCTTGGCAGGAGGGTTGGAGGTACTGAAGGCTTGTTGACTCCCCATTCCCATCAATACTCCCCAAGTTGGATTTTGGTCGGTTCAGTTCCCTTCTTTCGACTGAGAACTCAGCCAGGACTTGGCTATATGTAAGAATGCAAACGAGCGCTTCACCACTAACCACGCCAGCACTTGCGCCGCTGCCTACAGGGCTCTTCAGCAGTTTGCTCCAGACCCCAAGGCAATGTTGGTTAGGAAAAAAAGACTATAAAGTAAGCACTAAAGCCTTCATATCTTAGGCCGCCCTGAAAGCTTATGATACCATCAGTAGTAACAAGTCTAACATACATGTCAAAGTTCTCCCCCTCAAACTCAGGGTATAACACCATTCGTCCAGTTCTCAGGTGCAGCAAACCAATGAGCCAAAAGGAAATTGGCCTGCAACATAATGCAAGGGTAGAAAAGGAAATACGCATTCATTGGTTTAACTTTGCTCGACAAAATGGTTGGAGACATAAGGTGGTATGCAGCTTGTCAAATTTCCTTCATCGGAGTGCTTTTCTCAATAAAAACAGTTCCCATCAGATTGTTTCCTTCAGAAATAGAAGTCATATTTCTGAGGAGCGGTGGGGGCAAAAGCAGTGAACTGTGCTTCGAGCTGACTAAAACTGTTGCCCTAATTCAAACATGTCCTTTTTGAGTATCATGGAAGTCCCTCAATAACACTGCAGAGGCCAAAGTGGGGCACGGGGGAAAAGACTGGCAGCCCCTTACAAGTGCCAACAGGAAGCCAAAAGTTGGGCACTAAGGAACATTTGGACATAGAAGAAGTTGCTGATATGGAAATACTGAAATTCACCATCAGATTGGAGTGCTGTTTGGTATTTAAGCTTTGTATCTCCTTTTGGTGGTAGCAGACTTATTGTCTGAGGTATCAATGAGGACACCTGCAATCTTGTGAGGATTTCAATTCGAGACTCCGGTCTCCCAGACACTTTTTCAGTTCTCTCGATTTGATTGATCACCACACCACCTACACCAAAATTGTTTTAATTAGTGTGTTCACCTTTTTGACAGTTGAGAGAGCCTATGAAGTTCTGCCACTGTCCTAGCAGTGACTTCAAACTGCGGCGTCTCCCTCCCCGCTGCACTGAACGTCTCCTCCAGCCACTGCTTGACCTCCCAGAATTGCTGGCCGTCCAGAGTGCTCGATTGAGCGGGAGCGGAGTATCGCGGGGAGGCCTCCAAGCGCGACTGCGCAGACGCCATCTTATAGCTTGATCCCTGGAGGCCGCTCCCTCAGAATCAGATTGACTTTCTTATGAAGAGCTGCCACAGAATCCTTTTCCAGCGAACACCGCATTTCACAAGTTCAATCCAATTGGCGCCAAAGCCTAAGGCATTATAGGGTTTTGCATTGCGAAGCTAGTTAACGCGAGGGTTAAGACACTGAACCCATTTCAAAAGGGGGTTCAACGAAACATGGTTAGGATCCGGGGTTAATACCTAGAGGCTGATTAACAGAACTCAGTGCAGCTTCTCTCTACTATGTAACCAATTCTGGTACCTAGCTCGGACCAGGGGTTTGCAAAACGCAAGCAAAGTCAAAATTTATAAAGATCTATATATTTAGAAGTGGCCATTACCTTCCATCCAGCTGTCGATGTAGTATAATGGTCAGTATCACCGCCTGTCACGCGGTAGATCCGGGTTCGATCCCCGGCATCGGCGACAGGACGAGCGCTAGCTCATCCAAACGCTATTCCTCTTTATTCCTCTTTATGCTTTTCTCCACTTGTCCTGTGTTTCTTTTGTTTCTTTTTGCTCATCCATTCAGATTTGGAAGTCTTTGTGTAGCATTCAATCGCAGCAATACTTTCATGCTTCCAGGACGTTCATCGTTCACCCCTTTTTCAAGGGTGGCCTTTTGCTGATGAAAATTAGCTAGCTAGTGAGAGTTGCAAATGTAAGCGATTGTTGACAAATGCGAAGAGGACACATTTTGAGGCAGTCAATCAACCACGCAGGGAAAATGCGCCATTTAGCAATGTGTTTCTTGTGAAAGCGAAGGAAATTGGAGGTGGTTAAAACAGCCTTTTCAATGCTGCATTGTCAAGTACGATCAGGAGTCCAGTCAATTCAGCTGCATTGCCAGTACCATAGCTCTGTCCAACAAGGAGAGTTGCAGCAAGGGCGTCTTTATGCCCAATGGAGGAATCTCGGACATGTGAACCAGACCTTTGCTCAGGCAAGGCTTGGTTCTCAGTCAAAAGGAGGCGGCACAGACACTTTGGGCAGGCAATGGGCCCAATCACCTGACGGCCTTAGCGGACGGTCACTGCATCCTTGGCATGGGGTCTCTAGATTGGGAGATCAGGTGCTCAAAGGAAGTGGGGGTAGAAGACAGCGTTCGCCTTTTAGTGCCAGTGCAAATGGTGGTACAAAGTCAGAACATCTAGACAGTCCACCGCTAGAACCGCCCTCTGCAGGCAGCCACAGTCCTTCAGGCGCCCCTCCGCAGACAAAACCACTCAGCTCGCACAGAGAACCTCTAGCCAGCACAAAAGTCAAGCCTCAGCCTGAGGACAGCCGGGAAGCTTTAGACCTCCGTGCCAAGCTCCTGCCTCATATCAAACAGCAGTGGCGCTTGATTGCAAGGGCCTGGGCTTGCACCCTCATTTCATTAGCGGCTCTCTTGCTGGTCATTCCCCGAATAGGCAAGCTCTCTTCTCTGTTGTCAAATGGAGATCTGCCAGGCGTGGTTCGCATGGCGGGGGTAACGATGGGGCTCATCACCATGCGCTGCGCAGCTCAGTACGGCCAGGCAAGTGGGGCGCTTGTTTGCTTTCGAAAGTTTCTTGTTTGATGAGGTTTGGAACAGTATCAGGTTAATAAAGAAGAGCCCCCAATCAATCGCTTATGGTGTCTGCCTCCAGGAAGCTTGTGCACCCCAGATGTGTAAGCCCCCTTCGGCATCTTGAGCACTCAGGAAAGGTCCTCCCAACTATATGCGCGCTGTTGTAAGGAGATCAGAAGCAACTCTAGTCCTATGTTACAAAACGCCTGAGCTTTTTTCTGAGGATCACAGACACTGAAAATTTTTGACCCTGCGCAAGCAGGGACAGTCTGTGAGTGCTTGTATCAGCATTTTAAAGACTATGCAAACGGTTGAACCTTTTGAAACATCGTTTTGGTCATAGTCAACACATTGTAAGATGACTCATGCAGCGTCGATGTCCAAGTTGAACAGTATAACCAACGCTGATGTAACACTCCGAAAGTCCGAAACTCAGATCCTACACGTGTGTTTACCTTGTAAATCCAATCCACCCTCTCAGAGCCTTTGACACTTGCCCTTTTCTACAGGACGTATGGCTGTGGGAAGCGGCCCTCCACATCACGAGCAGCGTCCGCAAGCAGGTCTACGGACACGTCCAACTTTTGGGGCTTTCATACTTCGAGGGGGCCGGAGACACTGCGGCGGGAGACACGGCGTATCGGTTGACGGCGGAGGCGGACCAAATGGGAGCCATGGTGTTTGCATTTCTTCAGGTTAGGGGCGGTCTCGAGTACACACTTTTTTGGAAGCTACGATGATGGAGTAGTGGTGTGGAGCCATTTCCTTATCGGATATGTCTGGGACAGCTTTGGAAACGGTTTCAGAAGAACGTCCATATTTCAATGTCCTGTTTGGCGCACGTTTTTGCCTGCAAGGTCGAGATCCGACAAGCTGGCGGCTTTACCTTCGTAGTACGTACACTTTGAAATAAGCCCAAGCTCAAACGGAAGTCGCAGTCTAGACTGGCCCGAATCAGACGTGTTGCTTGTGCTTCGACCTTTGAAAGGGAAACGAAATCGACTCCGCGAAGGCACTAGTGTTGCGGAGCACTTTTGCTGCGGACTATCTTTGTGACTAAGATTAGATTGTTCTGGGCCTGTATGACGGGAATGCGCTGATGTCATCGCAACATCAGCGGGAAGGTCGCAAGAGCAGACAAATCGGTGGCCCCAATGAACACTACAAATGCAACTACCATCAGTGTGGCAATCTTAAACGGACAGAACTTAAAACGCTCCTCGTACTATGCAAAACCAATCTGACTGTTCTTATCAAACTCTGCACGTTCTAATAAAACGTGCAGCCGCTTTTTTCGAGCGCTTTTCAGCTGGTCGCGATGCGGGCCACTAAGCTCCCTTCAACTTCTCAAGCCGTCAAGAGTTTGGAACTATTGACTCAAAGCCCTGAAACAGGGATTCCAAAACCCTGGAACAAGGGATTTTAAAATCTCAACCGCAGATCTCGCCTTTTTGAAACTAAAGCTTCACGATCTTCTGTGCAGCGTCTCGTGCCAAGGCTCTTCAGCTCGTCGCAATGCTCGCCAAAATGCTCCCCCAAATTCTTCAAGCCATCAAACTCCTAAGCTCCCAAAAAACCCAAAATATGAATTCCTCCCATCTTCTATGCAGCGTCTCATCTCGAGCGCTCTTCAGCTCGTCGCAATGCTCGCCAAAATGCTCCCCCTGAAACCCGTAGGCCATCAAACCCCTAGCATCCAGAATCCTTGAAAATAGAAGTCGGCCATCGTCTGTGCAGCGTCTCATTCCGAGCGCTCCTCAACTGGTCGCAATGCTCGCCGAAATGCTCCCCCTAAAAATCGTAGGCCATCAAACCCCTAGGATCCAAAATCCTCGAGAATAGAAGTCGTCCACCGTCTGTGCAGCGTCTCATTCCGAGCGCTCTTCAGCTCGTCGCAATGCTCGCCAAGATGCTCGTGCTGAGCCCCTTCCTGAGCGGAGCCACGTTGGCGGTGGCGCCGCTGATGTCACTCCTGATCGCGCGCCTGGGGGACCGCGTGAGGCGCCTCTCGCGCAGCAGCCAAGACCAAGTCGCTGAACTGTCGGCGCATGTCAACGAGGTGGGTTGTTGTTTTTTGAGAAAAATTTGGGTCCGCATCTCTGTGAAGATGAAGTTTGGAGAACCAATTGAGCAGTCAAGAAAGCGTATCAATTGCTTCGGCAATATCCGATTCGATGCCCCCTAGAGCTAAAGACTTCAACCACCTTGAAACAGTGACGTGATTCTGTGTCGTTTGTCCCGGCCATACCATTCGTCAAGGGGCGCGCCGCAGAGGGTTACGAGCTCGCACGCTTTGCTGACCAGAGCGTGACGTCATCCGTGCAGATCCTCTCTCCCATGCTGGTCGTCAAGGCGCATGCGGCGGAGGGCTACGACTCACGAGCTCGCGCGCTTTGCTGATCACCGCTTGTCCTCAGCAAAATATTCAACTTCGTAAAGTCGTGACGTCTTCCCGTGCAGATCCTCCCGGCCATGCTCGTTGTTAAGGCGCATGCGGCGGAGGGCTACGAGCTCGCGCGCTTTGCTGATCTGGCGGATGCGCATCGCACGGGGCGCATGGCGTTCCAGAGGCAGCAGGCGCTCTTCTCCCCCGCAATCACGCTCGTTTACGCGGCGACGGTGAGAGTCTGAATTCCTCTCTCTAGTTTCTGATGGGACAGATAAACTTTTCCTCCGAGATTCTCTATCACCTAGTCAAGTTAAGGGGTCCTTTGGGGTGTGCTCTGCTCCCACCGGTAGAGGTCCTCGTCTCGTTAGCAGATGTTGATCGTGCACGCAACCATAGTGAGAACCTCAGCCGTCTTGCTCTGACATCTGCCACCTTTGTTACCTTAGCTTCGCTTTTCCGTTAGATGAGTCGTATCTCCCTCATCAATCTAGCAGAACTGCGGGATACAAAGCTCCATCATTACACAACAAAGAAGCAGGGACGGCACTGTTTACGTTGCAGCTTATCTGGTTTGAGTACTTTACGTTGAAAATTTTGCATGTTGCTTCTCGCTGACCCGCAACACTAGAAGGCGCCTCCAGTCAGGCTTGAGTCCATGCCGCCGACCTTGGTGTCAACAGGTGGTGTCCCTTTTCGCGGCAGGCACGAAGGCGATCGCGCACGGCCGCTTCTCCGGCGAGAAGATGGTCGCGTTTGTCGCCAGTCTAGTTCTCCTCATCGAGCCCATCCAAGCGGTGGGGAGCGCTTATAACGAGATCAAGCAAGGCCAGCCGGCCGTCGAGCGGGTGTTTGAGATTCTCGACACCCCGCCAGAGGTGACCGCTCCAATGTTCTGGACACTGTACAGGCTTTGACGTTCCGTTGCTAGCTCAGAAGATGATTCACTGTCCGCTAAGGCGTTTGAAAGGAAGTCCCATACCTACGTAACTGTCTAGACGCCGCCTTGTTTGTGAGCACTATGTTTCAAGGAACGGGTCCCATGTTGCTCGACGGCAGCAGCCGCTCACCCTCAGCGAGACCCGAACTCAGATCCTCTCTTCTATTTTAGACCTTCCGTTTGTCATTTTTCGACTGTTTGCATGGCAAATCATTCAAGGAGTCTTGCCGAGCTTCGCCATTCCTTACAGACAGATGTTTAGCAGCCTTACGGTCCGTTCACTACGTTGATCATGTCTTGGGAATTGCATTCCAATGGCAGTCTCTGAACGCAACGAAATAAAGCTCTGAAGCGTCCTCCCTTCGCCCGTCCATCTGCGTGAGCAAGATTGAAGTTCACCTTGCAATCTGCTCAATGTGTTCCAAGACCGCTAAAACGAACCGTTCGATGCGCTCTTGAAAACGTCCTCCGATCATCCAACGCCTGTGTCCAGGGGATTCCTGCCTCATACGCACCGACCTCATATCATAAGCGCGCGTCCTTGTTTGTAGGCAAGCCACGCGACGGGACCCTCGTCCGAAAGCGATTCCATACCGGTCGGCGATATCGTTTTCGACTCCGTTAGCTTCTGCTACCGAGACCGCCCGGTGCTTAGAGACGTGTCATTTCGGATCAGAGAAGGGGAAACGGTCGCTCTGGTAGGGCCGTCGGGGAGCGGAAAAACGACGCTCGTCAAGCTGTTACTGCGGTTATACGAGCCGGATACGGGTGAGCGACCCGAATTTACCAAGACTGGTCTAGCTTTGTTTGATGTTTTTCCACGTAATTTTTCTGCTCAAAAGAGCGTATGGGAGTGGACTTGAGAGATTCCATCGTAAAGAATGCTGAGAGGAAAGATTGTAAACGCGGTCATCTTTGCTGTTGAGTCCAAGGATGACCGCGTTTGGACTCAACAGCAACGACGCTCATCAAGCAGTTACTGCAATCATACGAGCCGGCTTCGGGTGAGCACACGAGAAGCCTTGGTGAATTGATTGCGGTTCTGGTCTACGAAGGCTGCTCGTACTGTATTTGAAAGGCTGCAAAAACGGGCGCTGTTCAGCACTGTTGGTGAAGGATCGTTGCCGACCCAGTCTCTGCGATCCGGGCGCCTGATAGACCTGGCAACTAATGGTGGGTTAGTGCTAAACCCTAGAGGGGTCCAGTTCGAACGAAGCGCCGTATACCAAACAAGGCCTTCAGAAGAGTGCGTGCTTTTTGAATGACGTTGGAATGACGTTGTCTAGCCGAGGGCAGCAAAGACACACCGTTGCGATTCTGGCTCTTGTAGTTACACAAGATCGTGAGTTTCTGGGCGTTGAAGACGATTCATCGCTGTAGGTTTTCGAGAAGAGACGATCTTACAAAGCAGGCACTACAACCCATCTGCTTGACCACGTGCTTCGAGGCTAAGTCTGATTGTCTGTACGCATTGAGCTTGACATAAGCTCACATTCTCCGCACCTCTAGTTCGAGTTCCATACATGGAAACTGTGCGAGCACTTTGTTTCTTCTCGGGCTCTATATGCAGATCTAACAATTTCGCCAATGCTCGCGCATCCGCTCTTTTGGTTGCAGGTGCATACGCATCCGGAACCGCCCGAACAAAGACATTCCTCTCGTGTGACTTGATGAACGCATTGTCCGCACGGCTATATGACCCTCATACATAGAAATTGTATGAGCATTTACCAGGCTCTAATTGCAAAACGGTTTTGCCAATGCTCTCATATCAGCTCTTTCTTGCTGCAGGTTCCATACGCATCGGGAACCGCCCGATCAAAGACATTCCTCTCCGCACCTGGCGGCGGCACCTTGGCTTTGTCCCCCAAGATAGCGTCCTCTTTTCCGGCACCGTTGCGGAGAACATAGCTTATGGCGTGGCGGCAAACGCTATCGACCTCCGGAGGGTCGAGCGCGCCGCCCGGCGTGCGCATGCGGACGAGTTTGTGAGGGGGTTAAGCGGGGGTTATGCGGCGGTTATCGGGGAGAGGGGGTCGACTTTGAGCGGAGGGCAGAAGCAAAGGTGAGAAGAAGAGGTGCAAAACCACTAGCGTGCAAAAGGTGCATTGGTCAAGTGGGCTTTGAATGTGGTCAATGCTAAGAAAGTTTGATGCTTGTCAAGTGAAGGTGGTATAGGTGCGCAAAACGCGTCGCGTATTTGTGAAGAAATGAATAGAGGACGAAATGGTTCCAGAACGTCACGCTAAAGAGGCGTGGTGACGTTTTATCGAGCAGGTGAAGGTCCTTAGGGTTTGAAAGAACGACAACAAAGGAACCCTCTCTTCCGGGCTCAGGAGTTGCCTGATGCACTCTGGAATCTGAGACTTTGGTAAAGGACTGAGCAGCCTGGACGGAAGGAAGAATATGAGTCTTACTTGCCCCTGGCGAATGCTCGGTAGCTGGTCATTCGGATCGTACTCCTTACAGGCCGCTTGATAAATCAATCCGAGCTTGGCCAGTGATGGACAAACTCTGATAACCACCCAACCTCGTGCCCGCAGATTAGCGGTCGCCCGCGCAATATATCACGAGCCCACGTGTCTCATCCTGGACGAGGCCACGTCAGCGCTGGACAATGAGTCCGAGGTACTCGTCCGAGATGCGCTGCAAACGCTTATGGCCGAAAAGACGGTGAGGAACGTCGACTTCGGTGTTTGTGTTTTGAGAACTGCCGACGAAGGCTGCACAAGCGAGAACGATGACTTTCGGAGTCCTTGTGGGCCGAGCGCTTTGTCGTGGCTGCAGGATTGCTGAGGCCTTCTGTTGTATCCTCGGCGCGTAAGAAAAAGATAGGCTGAAGTGGACACCGTTAAAAGAAGCACAGATGCGTTCAACTGTGGGCGCTGACGTCATTCTCATGTCGAGAAAGCTTCAAAGAGCTTGCACGCGTGTCGGGCTACTTCGAAGTCGCGCGCTGGCCGTTTTCCTTGGTCGCCCGTTGTGCGGCGTTGGCGAATAAGGATCGCCAGCGATGAGCCCGAAGCTCGACATGCATATGGAAGCGCCGACCGAATCTTAGACCCCGAGCAATGTGAAAATGCTATTACGACGAGCTTCGACTTCCGGGGTTCTGTCATGTAATCCTTCTCTTGTGGAGTTTCTCGTGACGATCTTGGGGAAAGCGCGAAAGCGAAAGGAAACCGTAGAGGAAGAAGAATGAGAAGCTTCTTGGTTCGCAGGTGATAGTCATTGCCCACAAGCTCGAGACCGTCCAAAGCGCGGACAGGATTTTGTTCATGGAGCAAGGGCGTATTGTCGAAGAGGGGGCGCATTTGGAGTTGCTGGAACGTGGGGGAAGGTATGCTAGCTTCTACAAAACGCAGCAGACGGATGACCGGCCTGTCGAAAGCTTACCACCGAAAAGATAGTTGGTGGAGGTGGAAATATAGAACAGTCAAAATGTTTCTTGAAGACGGTCGGGCGGCGTCCAAGTAACTCATTACCTTCCTCAGGGTGTTGTCCAAGCGATCGCGCCTGGTGAAGTATAACAATTGAAAAGAATCTTACCATGGATAAAGCATGACTCTTGTGATAAGCTCGTTACGGTAGAAGTGCCGCCTTGTGAATCTTTGAATCGTGTTTTCAATGGCATGAATCTGGAAGGGTACACTAATGATGCGGGTCAGTCCGGACGTATTACTGCACACGCATGCAGCTGCAATGCTTGACATCGATCAGAGGATGTTGATCGAAATTGCTTTGCGAACTGCATCGAGTGGTTATAAGGCAAATGCTGACCTCGCATGTATCATCTGTCCAATAAACATCGAACTTAATCTAGCCAGCCGCCGCCGCGGCGCATGCACAAAACATTGATCTGATTATGAACCGTCTATACCATATATCGGGGTAGTACTGAAAGCAAGGCTTGTCATTTTCCATGACTGATGGGTTGTACATCTCAACACAAGCGCATCAGGTCAAGCGTGCGGGGCGGCATGACGGTGCGCTTTCGAGCACCTCTGTAATTCCGACTACCACTTTCACGCATGATGAGACATGCCGCCGTTGAATGCTATAGCTGTAGCCATGCATGATCGACTTGGAGTCATGATTAATGATTGTAGACGAATCATATCACTAGTATTTATCTTGAGTCATGCGATCACTCATGCATTCGCAGACTTGCATATTTTCTCAACCTACATGGTCCATCGTCATGCATGTGCTTTTACTTAAACGTCCGCGGACTATTGTGTATATTTTGTGGATGCCAACTGGAATTGCTACATTTACCATTAGTACCATGTGGCTCTCGATCTTCACATGCAGCATACAAGTTCACATGTCCAATTAATTCGGTTGATAATATTTAAGGGTAGAATTAGTTTAAGAGACTACTGCCAATCAAATGAAGATGTGGACGGAGAAACTTTCATTGCGACGCAGAACAGGCTTCTCGGAAAGCTTGCAAGCTTTCGAGAAGACCAAATACAACAGGGGACGTAGGAGCGCCTCCATCCGATGATTGCCTGATTGCTTAATGGTACCCGCACTTCAGTGCGCCTTCCATTGCACCAAAGATCATTGAGCAACTGACTCGGGGGCTTTTGACCAATATAGTGTTTGATTTGTCGAAACAAACAAGCTACACTAGATGTTAATTGCAGCAGGAGGACCAAGGAATAGCAGACTTCAGGGTCAGCCCATCCGACCTATCGGAAATCGAATGGTTGCTCGCTCAGCAAGCTGTAATAGTTCAATTCATCGAGATCGTGGTCGAATTAAATGTTGCTACGTGTACCCAACCCTCGATCGCTATACAGCTTTTGCTGTTGTCGCGCAATCTAAGATGGTCACTAGTGATTGAGAAGGTTCTGCACATCTGATTGAACTCACGTCCCGAAAACGACTCGGTCATAAGTAAGCTACGGTGACTACCGTATCGACACCACATAACTTTAAGACTCGCCCTCCAACCAACCCTATCGTGACACGTGGCGGCTTACAATGCAGGGAAACCCAGCGCTGCAGCTACAACCCCGGACAAGAAGCGGCCGCCGCGTTTATTCCTAAGCTACTTAGTAGTAAGCACCAGGGATCTGGCCGTTAAGCTGGCAGTAGACCATTTTGCAGAAGTTGGGGTCCGACGCCGTCACAGGGTCCGCCGTTGGGCACGTGTAGCCCGTGGGGCAGCAAAACACAACCTGGACACGTGGCAAAGAAGCATTCGTCAGTAGCTGCAAAGCAACATCTGTGTCTTCGAAAACATTCCGACGGCCGTCCGAAGTCATCAAGGGTGCAAGACGCACGTTCGGATGCGCTTTGAGTAAGATCTGCTTTATCGAGGCCTCTTATCATTGTCGCGCATTCTTCAACTTTGACCTCGCCCCGCGACAGAGCACCGATCTAAGACGTCGACATTATACAATGGAGCGCGACAAATCATCTCGCGCCCCTTTACTGTAGCGAACCCCCGAAGCTTCACTGGAGCGGAGCGCCAATGCATCAGAAAGGGGACTCCCCCACCGAGGGGATGCGGATCACCACAGAAACGAGAAGGAAAGAAGGAACAGACACTCACTTGCAAGCACGACGTGCACTGGTTCAGCGCCTGCCCCTGCCTGTCGAACCCGCACACCCCATTCTCCGGCTGAATGGGCTCCATCGTCGCGCTCGGAATGGTGTTCGCGGCAGTCTGCGGCCGGGACGCAAACGTCGGAGAGGGGGTCAGGAGAGTAACCGGGGTCGGGTCGGGGGAAGCTCCGGGGACGGGGTCGGTGGTAACAAGAGACGAAGTGGACTGGAGAGTGGTCGACTGGCTGGCCGCGCAGACAGCGATCGGGCCCGGGGGGGGGCACGCGGAGTCGGCGCAGCAAGCGAAGGAGCTGCCGAAGGCGTTGTAGCAAGTGTAGGGGAGGGAGGACATTGGGTCGCAGCTGCGGGTGGGAAAAGGGGACGAAAGGGATTGTTAGCGTAGTGCACTGAAAAACTTCTGTTTTAAAGTCGAGCGTGTTCCCGTTTGTCATCTCTAGTCAGGTGGGTGCTTGAGGTACAAAGAAGTCTCGAGAAAGTAGGGATCAGGCGAGTTGTGAGCGCAAAAAAGACCCCTTCGTACTTCGAACGTGGGCCGAGAACACAACCTTCGAAAGCTCAGATTCACATTCACCGAGAGGGAGGCAGGCTCTGCAGATTTGCACTTCCGGTTCGACAGTCTCATAACAAGCAGCTTTGTCTTGGTTGGTCGGACTTTGAGCGCGCTCCTGAGGAACGTCACTTACACATGGCCGGAGGTGGCTGCGTAGGTTGCCACCGGCGCAGGGCCGGCAGTGACAGTTGGCGCAGCGGTGGTGACAGCTGGCGGGGCAGTAGTGACAGCTGGCGCCGCAGTGGTTGAGACAGGGATTCCGGCCACAGTAGGCGCCGGGGTGGGGACAGGGTCGCTCGCGCCGGTGGGGGCCGGGAGCGGGGCAGCAGAAGGATCCCCCACGACCGCACTGAACGTCAACGGGATGGAAGCGCTTCCCGTGGGGGTGGGGGTAGGGGTCTCCGTCGTCGTCGGGGTAGGGGTCAACAACACCACGGGGGTAGGGGTAGGGGTATCCGTGCCCGCAGCGAGAACGGTTGGGGTCGGGGTAGGAGCATCGGTGGGGGCCAGTGCGGGGGCAGCCGAGGGGTCCGCCGCCGTCGTTGCGGAGAGCTTCGGAAGCGCCGTCGTCAAAGTCGGGGTCGGGGTAGGGGTGTCGGTCGACGTAGGGGCGGGGGTGGTCCCAGCGGGAGTAGGGGTGGGGGTATCCGTAACCGCGGGGGCCGGAGCGACAACGGTTGGGGTCGGTGTAGGGGCGTCAGTCGGGGCCGTCGCGGGAACTGACGCCGTTGTTGCAGAGAGCTTCGGAAGCGTCGTGGTCGAGG